CGTCTCCCCGTGTACGTGTCCGCTTAACTTCCGACTAGTATCCGAGCCGCCAAGGTGCGCTCGCGTCGTATTGGCCCCTCCGCGCTATCTAGCTTCTTTTTTTAAAAAAAAAAAAAAAAACTCTCGGTTTTTATGCATTTTTTGTAAGCTCGCAAGCTGCGCTGTCGGATTGACGCGTGCCCGCGCAGTCGTACTCTTCGCGTCGACCGCGACCGCGAGCGTTTTGACTTTGTGCGTGGCGTGGTTGTTACGGGCATTGCGCAGGCCACGTTCGCACGTCCGCAACTACGCAATGCGGCCTGGTGGTCTAGTAGTATGATTCCTTCTTAGGGCGTCCGTGCTCGGTTGGAGGAGGTCCCGGGTTCAATTCCCGGCCAGGCCCTTGTAGAAAGTATTTCACAATTTTTGCCTGCATCAGATTGGCGGTGCCGTCGTTCGGAGGAAGCGGTCGTGTTTGCGTTGGCCGGCCTCGGAGGGTCGACTCTGGCGGTTCCGAGAGTCTTCGTGTCGTGTTAGAGTTCAGAATTTCGCATGAACGCGCGCATCGCTTTGCAAGTTTGAGGAGCCGTGTTCAAACGCAATTTGAGTCTGACCGCGATGCGTACGGCTCACGGCTACGACCGGTGGCTTGATATACAGAACCTGCTTCCCGCTCCTGAACGCGCTGTCGGCGATCTGTGTCCGGGAACTGCGCCGACGTCTCCTTCCTCGCAAACGTCCTGCACTTGCTCATGTCGGAAGCCGTCGAGGAGGCAGCTAGATTGAAGGACAAGGGCGATGCCCTCTTGCGCGAAAAGGCGTACTGGGAAGCCATCGCAAAGTCCTCCCGCGCTATACTCTAACAGGGCTGCCTGTCATCTCGCTCTCCAGGCGTGAGTCGTCGCCCTCTCAGGCCGCTGCCCTCACCGCGTCTCACCGTTTTCCCGACAGCGACGGGAAGGCAGCGTCCGACGCCGTAGCCGTAAGTCGCGACGTTAGTTTAAGGGCTTCGCCGTTGCATACCCAGCCCCCGCCGTAGGCGCTGGACCTTGATCCTCACTTCGCAAAGGCTTGGGGTCGCCTCGGCAAAGCTCGGCACGCGTGTTTCGTGGATCACTGCGTGTGCCCTCAGACCCACCCACGTCCCCGCAAGGCTATCAGGACTACGAGGGCGCGATCCAGTTGTGGCGAAGCGGAATCGAGGCAATCGAGAGCGAGGAGCCCGTAGGACACCAAACTGGAAGAGGAGTACCTGGCGAACCTGGCCGTCGAGAGGAAGAATGACGCTGCGATCAACAAGGCGCCCTTCTCCGCGTCCGGGAATAGACTCGTGATCAGCGAGAAGGGCAAGAAGATGCCGTGGCGACGCGCCGTCGACATTATACCCCGTCTTCGGGAACGGGACAATGCAGCATAAGCATTCCAAAGTGCAAGGTCTTTGCCCGACTGACTGTCCGCTTAAGGGCTGCAGGGGCTCACCTTGATCCATATAGAAAGTGACAGACTCATGGGTCGTACTTGTGTAAGGATACTGTACACGTTTTACGCTGCCCAGCTCACATAGCTCTCAGGTTCTTGACGAGATCACAAGGGGCAGGACGCCGCCCTGCGATCTCGAACGATAGCAATTAGGCAAGCTCGCTTCTCGTTAGGCTGCGCCTGCCAGCGCTCTTACCAATCTCGTAGGGCCCTCCTTTACAAGGCACACATGGAGAACGGGTCGACCAGAAAACATGAAATGGCGATTGGCATCTACGACCACATCATAGCCGTTCTGCGTTGGGGCCGGGAAGAGTGGGCAGACATACCTGTCGAAAGGCAGGGTGCGATACTGAGGGACACCTTGCCTCACGGAGTGCGTCGAACACGCCTGGAAGCCTACAGGAAGGTGACTTGGTCTCCCTAGTTTCTCGTCCTCGTCCGCGGTGCAGCACTCAATTCGAGCAGGCTGTCACTCTTGCCGAAACCGCGGAAAAGTTCACTCTCAGTGGCGTGCTTCAGGAGGCGGCGAGCCTCATCGACGATGTCCGCACTCGTCCCCCTCAGGCAGACAGTCCCGAGCTCTTCGCCCATCGTAGTACCCTTTACTTGACCTGACCGATCACCAGCGTCATGGATCATTATTGGAAGCCAACGGCGCACTTGAAGCATTATGAAAATCCTGAAGACGTCCGAGCGGGAAGGGACACGGGGATCAATCCCGTCCTCCGAGTCTTACAGATCTTCATCGTGGTCGTTGAGAGACTGAAATTGCCTAGTGAACAGACTTGTGAGATCGTCAACAATGTCACGGGCATCCGCAAGTCTGATCGCGGAGTTCGAGGCAGTTACACGACCGCTGCTTGACGTTGACGGCGGTTGTTGAGTGGTGGAGTGGAAGAGCTAGATTGTGTCTGGCATCACTGGAGGGTGTCGAGCCAGTCTCGCAGGCTTGTGAGAGAATTCTTTGTGAAGCATCCTATCATAACTAGCGGAGTGGATAACCTAACATTGGGAATGCAGAGCAAAAAAAGAATGCACAGTTCATTAAAGCGCTTATCGAAGGCATCCAGAACTACAGGCGTGTGCTTGAGCGGCTCGATGACATAGTACTCCTGGACAAGGAGTATTCTCGTAAGGCGTATATCCCCCGCCAGTAATATCTAAAATACACGCCAAAAAGTTCAGGATGTTGAAAGGGTACGCACTCGTCGACCGGTTCGGGCGTCTTCTCGAAGAATGCGTCGCATTTGAAGAGTAGGTCCTTCAGTTCCTGTGGCTGCTCGCCTTTGCCGTCCTCGAACATCCGGATGGACCCCTACTGGCGCGTCTGCAGTTGCAGAGGCCAAGTTTCGCCATGGCCTCGTTAAGCTCGCGTGTCCTGACGGAACCTCTGTCCGCTCGGATCGTTCGAGCAGCATGGATCAACGGCCAGAGCAGCAGAACTATGAACGGAAACGCGTATGTAGTTGACCACGATGTGAGCGAGTTGCTCTAGTCATGCCAGACGGCAGAACGAGATCAAGCATATCTGTCTTTGCGCCTTAGTGTATTTGCGGGAATACGGTGCGGGGACGTCCATGGGGGGTGGTGATGGAGAGCTTGAAAGGGGGACTAGGTGCAATTGTTCATGCCCGTGCAATAGGTTTCGTATGTACGTTTAGCCTTGGGGGTGTTCATCCTTCCGTTGTTTGGTCGTATTTAGCTTGGCTTCGACGTTTAGATCTGTGACGTTTACTAGGCTCTTGCCCTGCTCTTATCCAGGTCTGCACTCTGTACGCTACTCAGTTTCGTCGTAGTATATGGCAAACATCGGCTCCTCCTTCCTGGGCGACCACCCGCGCACGCGCTTCCGCCGCGGCCCCGGCAGCGGCTCAACACCCGGTTCGACGCCGCCCTCATCACCTCCACCGCCGTCCGGCGGCTCAACACAGGCGCAGGCGTTCCCCGCCGAGCTGCACTCTCCGCCAGCAAAGCCCACTGCGCCGCTCTCTGAGCCGCCGAATCTCAGTATGGTCCCGCCAGCGGAGCCGAAGCCTCTTGCGCCCGCGCAGGCACTCGAGCTGCGTCTGCGCTGGCTCGAGGCGATCCTCTATGGTGCGCGGTCTAGCGTAAAGCCCACAGTAAGTAGCGCGGAGACAATCGCGAGACGCGCGGGGGAGCTGCAGAGGCGGATGAACGAGGTCGTAGGCGCGCACGACAGCCTGCGACGCTTCGTAGACTACTGTACGACCTCTTCCCATCGTCCCCCGCATTCTCGCTCGCTCATCTCTCTCTCTTACGCATCCGCGACCGCCTACGTCCCACATCCCGCCCAGACGCACAGCACGCGCACCTCCTCACGCCTGCGTTTGCGCTCTCCGGCACGCTGCCCGCTCCACCAGCGTACGCAGACATGGCGCCAGCCGAGTTCGACGCGTTCCTGTCCGAGCTCGAGCCAGACGTGCGCGCGGCGGAGCGCGACATGCGCGAGATCGCCGTGCTCGAGGACAAGGGCGTCACGGGCGCGGGCCGGCTGCCCGGTGCGTCTCATCTGCGCGCTCGCTTTCGTCCCGCGTGCCAGTGCTGACAGGCGTACGCGCATGTAGACTATGAGGCGCTGCAGCCGAGGTTGGATGCGCTGCTTGTGCGGCATGCTGAGGATGCGCGGCGCGCGGCGATGCTCGAGGCGCGCATCGCGGCGGTTGTGCAACACTATGCGTCGCAGGTGCGTGACGCCTTTGGTCCTACGGCATGCGCACACGTACTCATCGCGGCGCTCGAGCAGGTCGACGAGCTGTCGGAAGTGTTCGTTGAGTGGGACGAGGTGCTGCGCGAGGCGGAGGAGCGCGTGGGCAAACTCGAACGCGAGAAGGCGGAGCGCGCGAGGCTCGGGTACGAGTAAGGCCCGTGCACGTTGTATACTCTAATACGGTGCGCTACGGGATGCTGCCGCGCTCATGGTGTGTATGTGCTATACCCGTCTCTGTGCGCGCTTCTCCCGCCTTCTCTTCTTTGCCTGCATGTTGACCCACGCGGCAGTTCGATACCCTGACCGGCCGAGGAATCCCCGGCGTCGACATTGTGCGTCGGCGGGCGAGACTGCGTCACGTATGCTATACGGCTCGTGGCAGGCAGCGATTTTTGCATGTCGCGCCATGTTGCGCCATATGTAGAGCCGAAACACGGAGGAGCGCGATGTACACTGACAGAGGGCGCGGCGTCAGGTGGGCGTGGAGCGCGTGCGGTTGCCAGCGGGGTCGTCGCACCGCTCCCATTGAGAGGGTGTGAACGGCGGGATAGATCACTTGTGACGCGGTACAGATCGTGTGAGTGCTGCTAAATACGCAGGAGTCTTATGGCTGGGAGCAGGGTTTGTTCTGGATCGTCGATACGGAGGAGCGGCGGTGATAGCGCCGCACTCTGAAGCCGTGGATGACACATGAGACGTTGGGAGTGTTCCTGAAGGGAGCGAGGGCAAGTGCGCGGCTGATGGTGATGAGGTGGTGCAGGGTGGTGAAAAAAGCGAATGTCTTATGAAAGGTGTGCTGCACGGAAGAAAAAAAAAAGAAAGAGGGCGAAGAGACTGAGACGGGAAAATCGAAGAGAGGGGCGAGGAGAGACAGCGAGGTTGGGAGGAGCGGAGCCGCTTCCGAGGCCGCGGTTCCTGTTGCGCTCGGCCGCCACCACTTCATTCCCAACGGGCGCACGCACCCACAACGACGCCGACGCCCACGGCCGCGTTCCTTCTCGAGATATTGTCGCTCGCCCGCCATGGCCACGCTCCGACCGAACCACGCTTATCGTACGCTGCCGACGCCGCTGCAGCCGTCGGAGGACGAGATCCAGCGTGAGGTCGAAAACCTGCGTGATATCCGCCGACGGTCGACCGCCCAGGGCGGGCCCGGCCCCGTCATCGACCCCGATCTGCCCTCAGCGTCCGCA